TAAGGTCTCTGAAATATTTACTGTTCCTTATTACAAAGCCAAGAATTCTAGAACATGCTGAAACTAATTGATTGACATGGGGTATAAAAGTAAGTTTCGAATCAAATAAGATTCCAAGGTCCTTGATGTTCTCTGATCTGCTCAGCGCAGCACCGTCCAATGTATAAGCATATACAATGGGATTAATTTTACGAGAAAAAGTTATAACATTACACTTAGACACATTAAGGGTTAATCTATTCTCCATGCACCAATCGTGGACCAGGGTCAGATTTTCCTACAAATATTCACAGTCCATGGGTTGGTCTACCCTATTGAGCAACCTCAAATCATCAGCATACACAAGTTTGTCGCACTTAATAACATTAATTAAATTATTAATAAAACACAAAAATAGCAGGGGTCCTAAGTTAGAACCCTGTGGTACGCCCGAACTAATAATAAATGATGACGATCTGAAGTGCTCATACTCCACATACTGGGTGGGACCAATCAGGTAAGATCTAAATAATGCTAACAATCTCTGTGACACTCCAAGGTTCTCGATTTTCAAAAGCAAGATAAAGTGGTCGATTTGGTCAAATGCCTTTTAAAAGTCTGTGTAGATAACATCAAGCTGGCCTTGAGAGTCAAGTGTTTCGCAGACGATGTGTAATAGTGTGACCAAATTCGTCATACATGAACGAGAATCGAGAAAACCATGTTGACTAGGCGAAAGGAGACCTCTGATTTGAGGATATATGCTGTTGTAGATGATTATCTCCAATATTTTTGAAAAGTTACAAAGAATAGAAATAGGTCTGTAGTTTTTTAATAAAGAAACTGACCTTTATCGATTACAAGATTAAAAATATGAGTTAATGGAATAACTAGTACACAAGCAGTGTCTTTCACAAGGAAGCTAGGAATGTTGTCGATGCCTGAGGTTAATATTAATATGAGGTTTATCTATTGTTACCAAAAGAAATTTATTTGATTCTGGATTCGAGAGACCCTCATTTTCTAGTTGAATGTTTCAATGTCACATTTGAAATAAAGAATATTAGTTCTCGAAATATTTAGAGATAATTGGTTTGCATCAAACCATTCTTTCAACAAAAATACATCTTCCTGAATAATCTTAGAAAGCCTGTCAATTTCTTGGTCATGCTATAGAATTGTCTGGATTATCCGTAAATTCTGTAAATCCTTCCCTCATTGGATGATGATATATGTATATGTGTGATAAAAATCAAGAACAAGAGTGGTCCAGAAGCTCTGAGGTACGCCGATTCTCACAGATTCCGCTGATGAGCTTTCCTCATTGAAAACAACTGACTGAGTCCTACCGCTCAAATATGATCTCCATGATCTACACAATGAAATGCCTTGGGCAGATCACAGAACACCACCAAAGTTTTTTCTCCTGAGTTCAAGTGTATGTATGTATAGATGCTCTAAAAAGTTAAAAATTGTGTGATTCGAGGGGTCAACCACTATGCTTACAAATTTAGGTACAATGATTTCCATACTTATTTGGCAATCACTGATCAATGAATCTCATGTATTCCCATCTTGAGAATTGCGACTGATTGCCAATGATTTTCAGATATTTTTGTATGATTACCAGGTGATTTCCATTTTTTCTGGAGATTCCTATATCATTCCCAATTGATTACCTGATTTCCTCGATGATTTCCTACAATCATCTGATTTCCAGGTAATTTTATTACGAACATGATGTTAGGCTTGCATTGATATGATCAGAATAGACAGTATTTTCTCCTATAAAAACACGTTTCCACTGAAAAATTGGCAACTTCTGTATTTGCAACTCTTCCAGAAGTTAGCAACTTTTATTTTCATGGTTATCCACACCCACGTCGATTTTGTTGTAGTTGTTGAGCCCTAGATACCATTGTGTGTCTACACTGCATAATATGGATCTAAAATAATGGATATTTCTTTGAATTCACTAGGATGTTCATCTGAATCATAGACATTGTCAGTTAGGGTTTCACTCAAAAAACTTATTTCTGATTCTGATTCAGATGTGCTATCGTCTCTGCTTCTCGCCCTGCTTAGTATTTATTCTACTTTTCCTTTTCAAGGTCTTATTGCCTTGGATTCCTGACTTTTTCTTTTGTGTCTTTCTCAGAGACATTCCCATAGCTCTTAATACTCGATCGACATACGTCCCCGCTTCTCTGAAAACAACCAAAGTAAAGTTGAGCCCTGAATAATCTCTTAGTTGTAGCGAATCGCTAAACCCTGATCATACTTTAGGTCTGCTCTCACAGAAATCACAAACCAGTCAGAGCGAATTTCATTGGTTAAAAATAGTCAGAAAACTGGTTGTTGGCGATTTGCACCAATCAAAAACGCTCTGATTGGTTTGTGATTTCTGTGAGAACAGACCCAATCTGAATCTCATTCTTCTTATTCAAGTTCTAAACTCTCGAGTTCAGTTATTGACTCAGTTATTGGGAAACTCAGGATATCAAATTTATTCCAAATTGTCTAGCATTCAATGTTGCCTAAAACTCAGTCTCAAACGCAGCTACACCACTGACTGGTATGTTATATTGTTTAAAATGTATGATATGCGATTTTTGGGTTAGAGTGAGATGATATTCCCAGTGATTATCACATGATTCTCAGCGATTGCCAATGGATTCCCATGCAATTCCCGTGGAGTCCTAGGAGATTCCTAGCAATTTCCAAATCATTTCCAGGGACTCCCGAGTGATTTCCATGTATTCCTGATAGATTACTATATGATTCCCAAAAAAAATTACAATGACTTACACTAGTGGTTTACCACTCATGTGACACTAAGAAGTTTATGCTTGTTAGAAAAAATATTACTCTTACTTGAATTAGTTTTTCCACTATCTTAGAGGGGGTAAGAAGTAGTGCAATGGGTCGAAAATTAGAAGCTAGGTCCTGATCTCCACCCTTGAACAATGGAACAGTCAGGGCCCTTTTAAGACAATTTGTAAATTTTCCAGTTATTGATAGCTGCAATACCAAGTCTGGAAGCGCCTTGACTACCCTCAGAGAAATTTCATCCCATCCTGAAGAGTTCTTATTTTTTAATCTTTTAAAAAGATATTTTTAATCTCCACAGATGTTGTTGGATAAAGGAAAAACGTCTCAGATACAGATATATTGCGTGAAGGCTCTTTATAGGATGTAATTTTACTAGACAAATCATGAGCTATGCTACAATAAAAAGAATTCAAATCATGTGTTCTGAGATCCATGATTCTCTATTTTTATTGCAACACTGTTCAATTTTATTCCCATAGTACCTACATACTTTTTGCCATGTACATTAACTTACCTTCCTGTAAGTTTTACAGTATATTTTATAATAAATAATGAAAGTTTCATTTTGATTATAGAACTTTTTGATACTGCATAGATCTTTAGTTAGCAGCCCATCTTCTCAAACCTCTTGTGTACCAGGGATTAAGTCTCTTATGCTTTATCTCGACAATAGGAAAATAAATGTTAAAGTTATTGCTTAAAAGTAGATGAAAGTGCTCCAAAGAGTCTTCAGTTAAAAATATTCCAGTCTGTTTAATTGCATAGCAACTTTTTTAGTTAAAAGTCTGCCTTGTTTGAAGAAGATTTTTCTTCGTTTAACAGAATTGTCTGGAAATTAACAGAATATTGCTTCATGATCAGACAATCCAGCATTAATTGTTGAATACAGAATTTCCATCCAAACAAATGATGAGCAGAGATAATCTATTAACGTAGTGATAGTAGGAGTTATTCTTGTTGGTTCGGTAATGTGCATTGAGAGATTATAAGGACTTAAAATATTTTTTAAAAAGTTAACGTTTCGACAGGATTGATTCAAATAGTCAACGTTAAGGTCACCCGCAACAATCACCGAAGCATTACTGGATATCTCTGAGAGCAACATATCCTTCTTTTCAAAAAAGAGATTTATATTTGCCCGGGGACCTGTAAAAATCTAAAACCTGGGGACCTGTATAAACCAAAAACCCAAAACCTCTTTAAGGAAGGTAGTCATACTTATCTATCCGAGCAAACTCACAACAGTTGGTCAAAAAATATTCACACTCATTAAAGTACCTCTGTGAGAACACAGGGTTCTAGAAAACTTAGAGACTAAAACATAGTTTGGTATTTTACATAAATTGTCTCATCTAGTTTTAGCCACAACAACAACTATCTCAGGAAACTTATGACAATTCAGAAACAGAAAAAGATCGTCCACTTTATTTGACACAGACCTTATATTTATTAACATTAGGATGCGAGTTTTTTTTTTTGTCTGGACTGACTAAAAAATACTACACTATCACAATTCCCAGCGGGTCAATTCTTGAAAATTCTCGTATACGTAAGTTGATTCGAATTCGAATGACAGCAACGTAAATTGAATAGGAAACATTCGAATTCATATCAATTTTCGTATGCGAGATAATTCAAGAATTGGGGGGCAGGTACTGAGAGATACACAGTATTTTCGTTTGACAAAGTCTGCTCTACATAAACTAGATCCTGAAGAGAATGAGGACTCTCACAAGTAAAACTGCTGCAATTCCTAATACTATCATGCTAACCTGTAGATCAGATCAAAATTTGAGTGAAACAATTTCTTGAATAGTGAAAAAAAAAACGAATTTTTTGCAATTTATTATGTGGTCACTTTTTCCAAGAGGTGCTTGTTCTTGAACATCAAAAATTATTTCTTTATTCTCATTCACAAGAAGCAGGTTTGTTTGTTTGAAAAAGTACAGGTTTTCCACAAAATTGATTTAGACATCTTCCACTTTGTCCACATGTAATGATTATATTATTGTTTTAATTAAGGTGTATTTAATATTAAAAAAAAATTGGGGAAACCACAGCCTATGATTCATTATTTACCTTATCCAGCCATGTCTACATTTAAAATGGAAACACAGAATTAAAGGTTAATTTTAATCAATATTGATCATTTGATGATTGCGATAATTATCAATTATTGAATTTTTCAGTATCAGGCAGTCAATTAGAAACAGCCAGTGCGGCATGTAGAGTTCTCCTAAAATACTTGCTCAATGCTCTGCAGAGCGCCAGCAGCGAGCAGTATCAGGACAGTGTGGCTATAGAGCGCTACTTGAACGCAGTAAAAGTCCTCTGCAAAGGCACCGGGTTGCTCAGTACCACCGAAGTGTCTAGTCTAGTTGATACAATGAAAGGAGAAAATTTACCCCAACAGACCAACGTGTCTGCAAGCGGAAATGACAAGGAACCTAGTAATAAGCAAGAGTCTACAAAAAATAGGCCCGATTTATCGGTGTCTATATTTGAAAGACTTACTTTGCCTATTCGGGATAATCCTTATAGTCAAGAAACTGCTGCTAGTCCAGCTCTTCCTGAAAACCCAGGAGAAGCTGATCCTATTACAGAAATTAATGTAAGATGCTTCTTTATTTGTAATAAAATCAGGCTTCAAAAAAATTTGTTTTTTTAGAGATTATTTCTTAGAGCAAACACCGAAAGTTTGCAAGCTCTTAGAGCAGGAGATACCCTTATTGACCTATGTCTAAATTTACCCACAATTAAGAAAGCCAAAAGCAAAGTAGAAGAAGCCTTAGCTGGCAGACCGTTTAGCATACCTTCAAATCATGCTGAAGCATTAGCCCATAGAAACAGGTAAAATCATCAATCATCAATCACCCACAACCAAAAGCGATTCAATTCATTTTTTTTTCTAGCCTTCCTCAAAGTCTTTCAGAAATAACCCTAGCTATCTCAGCAATTAATCTACCAGTACTAGAGCCGCTCAGTGCACCCAAACTAGACAAACTGTGTAGCTTAGCTATGGCTGCACTTCATTGTGCATTGGCTCAAGCTGCCGCCAGCTCTTGCTTGTCTGCAGCCAGCGTAGTTTCGCCTAAAGTTGGAGGACAACAGGCCCAAGCTGCTAGTCTTAAAGAAGAAGATTCAGATGTGAATGCTCTAAAACTAACTGAAGATGTCATAAATTTATATTCTTTCATTGGAAGTGTTATTCAGTCCTCTACCAGAGCTGGAGGTCATGTAAGTCAAGTTTGTATTAAACTTTCAGTTTTCTTATAAGAAGTTTCAATATTGTTTTAGGCATATCAAAATTACCTTCTTGCCGGGGCCTGGGTATTATTTTCAGGACTACAGACTCATTTAACCCAAACTACCAGTGAAAAAACATCTACGCACCCATCCAGAGATTCAAGAGAAAGAGATTCAGTTGAAAAGGGTAGACCCAGTCCTAGCAAACAAGGACCACAAGTATGGACTTGTGTTTTTTTTTTTAATAGAACTTTATTAATAGAACTGATTTTTTAGAATCGCGATTCTTCAACTAGTGCTTCAGGCAGTGCCAGATCAGGCCTACAAAAATTCCAACAGTGTTTTGGTGTTCATGGTGTAGCCTTGGCTATAGAGGCCTTGGGAATATTGTCCGAATTATTTGATGATCTCAGTTTGGAAGTTTGTGGAGGCTCTGTGGCCAGTGTTGTCACTGTAAGTTGACTAAGCGAGTTCATATTGTCTATTTTTGATTGTTTAAATTTTTCAGATTGAACCAGCACCTATAGCAATCCTGGGGCAGTTTACAGCTCTACAAAGAGTAGCTAGAGTACTCAGTGCTGCCCCCTTGAATCATTTGCTTTTCTACTTGTCCATTGCCAGCTATAGAAAAGCATGCTCTCTAAAAAGACTCGTACCTCCTGAAGGCGACAATTTCAGTCAATCAGACTCTACTGCTTATTTTGAAGACATGATTTTGTGCAGTGATGAAAATTCCACAGACGAAGGTAAATTTTAATTAGATTCTTAGTTTTTGTAATTATTTATGTTTGATTTTTTAGATGATGATAGTGAGCCAATATTGGGGCAATGGTTTGAGGATACCTTGGCGCCTCCAGAACCTTCAGAGCCGAAATCGCCTTCTAGTTCAGAAAATGCCGATTCTAAATCAAACAATCAGTCCAATCGTCCTCAATCTAATAGTCGTGGGAAATTAGATGTAAGAATCAAAGAATTTTTTTTTAAATCATAATCATAGTACAAATAAAGTTTATTCTATGTAGATATTTACAATCTGTATATTTTTAGGCTGATGGTTACATTACATTGGCAACAGGCATTTTCCAATTTCTCAATAAGCACTTCTTGTGCTCCAAGTCCACGTTTGTACAAAGATACGTGAAAAATGGCCTGACAGAACATCAAATGATTATCTTGGCAGCCATTATCAGGGATATGGACCGCGAGTGGGCCAAATCAGAACTTGGTAGGTTTGCTTTCTAAGGCCACATAATCATTTAATTGATTCATTTATGTTTTTAGGCGGGCCATACACTGAATTTTCAAGTGCCCTGATGAAATTCACTCACAATCTAATAACCAGCAACAATCTGACATCTTTACAAGCCTGCCTCTTGAATCATTTGGGAGTTTCACCATGGAACGCTGATGTGCCCCATGCCTGGCCTCTACAAGTTTATCCTAGAACTCTAACTGTTCTGGCACAAGTACTTCAAATGTCTTAATTTTGATTTTCATCATTCACTTGTTTCTTTGTTGTAGGTGTTATTATTGAGACCGCAAAATGAAAAAGAAGCTTCTGTGATAAGTATTTGGCATAGGCTTGTAAATACCCTTATTGAGAATGTTTTGAATAGTCCCCAAGTGCCTGGAGATGGCGATATTGAAGGTAATTTATTTATGTTTTCAATTGATATAATTTTATATATTTGATCATTTTAGATTTGAATGTGGAGCATGCAGAAGTCCTTTTATATCTTTTTCACTCATTAAATTTGATGCAGAAAAAATCGGTGGTTCTTTTGATGGCAGGGGGTGTACTAAGATGTTCAGAAATTGCCAGAAGCAACCTCAAAGACTCTCAACTATTGAATTTGTCCAGATTACTTTTGTTGTTTGATTATATCATGAAGCATTTGTATGATGTTCCAACGTCTTTACTTGAAAAAGTAAGTAGGAACCTGTTTCATGCTTTCTTGTAGTAGATCACACATGTTCTACTGTCTTGTAGTAGATCATACATGTTCTACTCCACAAAATCTAATTATTTTGTTCTAGATTCAAAGAAATCTTTTTGATCTCACCTATCTAAACCCAGACTTTAAAGATTCTGGCACTCCCAAACCTGAAGCTATTTGGAAGGAAATTGAGGAACCTTATCGAAGGATATCCAATGAAACCCACCCTACACCTAGATTTTATAAACTTTCCAATTTAGAGGTACCTAACTATTCGTATAGCATAAAAAAACATTTTCAAAACTTTCAACTTTAGGTTAGCAATCAGGAATCACCAAAACTGGATGGCCTAGCCTGCAATTTTGTCCTGGGCACCCCCGATAAACTCAGGTATCCCCTTCTACTGGATGCCCTAATAGAAATCCTCAACGTTACTCACAATATCAATGCTACAAGTGCATCAAAAATGACAATTTTAGGCCTGAGTGCTACTCAGTACTGTTTCACTATATGCTGGAGACTTTTACATCTTCTACCTCCTTCCACCCAGTACATGGAACGACTAGCCACTGGAGAGATATTAAGCCCTGGACCTGTGCTGATGCATTCATTGATATGGGGACCTAGAGCTGCACACAAGAATTTCACTAGGTGGTTGAAAGATTGTCTTGTGAAACAGGTAAAGTCTTCTTAAATTCTTAAAAAATTGTTATAGATAGAAAGCTGAAACTTTCACTGAATTTTATCCCAATCCTGGGACTACAATCCCTGGAAATTTCAGCTCGTGTTAAGCAATTTGGGGTGATTTATTATTTTGGAAAACTTTGAAAGGTCATAACTTTTTTTCTATTATAGAAAGAAACCTGAAATTTTCAGCGTTTCTTATCCTACTAGAGGACTACAATCCCTGAAAATTTTAACTCATTTTGACTTATAGTTCCTGAGATAAAATGGTATTAAGCAATTTGGGGTGATATATCAATTTTTCAATTTTTCTGAGTGCCTATTTTCATAGATTTCGGCTTCAAATCTGAGAATAATTTAGTGTATGGAGTTTGGGGTATGTTGATTGATCATTTGGATACAAAATCTCGAAAAAAAAAAAATTGAAATTTCTTCGTTTTAGTAAGACCTACCTTATGATTAAGATTTTAGAAAACTTTGAAAGGTCATAACTTTTTTCCTATTATAGATAGAAAGCTGAAACTTTCACTGAATTGTATCCCAATCAAGGGACTACAATCCCTGGAAATTTCAGCTCATTTGCATTTATAGTTCCTGAGATAAAATCGTGTTAAGCAATTTGGGGTGATTTATGAATATGAAATATGATTTCGGCTTCAAATCTGAGAATAATTTAGTGTTTGGGGTATGTTGATTGCCATTAGAATACAAAATCTCGACAAAAAAAAAATTGAAATTTCATCGTTTTAGTAAGAAGGTACCTACCTTATGATTTAGATTTTGGAAAACTTTGAAAGGTCATAATTTTTTTTCTATTAATTATTATATGTCATATTCTCTTTCAGGGTATGTACACTCAAAACACAGACAAAATCCTAAAGGCTGTCTCAGATGCTGTTAACAACATTGAGTACGATTCAACAGTAACCAAAAGTTGCGTCATAAGCCTAATCCCAGACACTTCAAAAGCCATAATGGCGAAAGAAGATCTTCCACCTTTGTGGCAATTGATTCTTTTGGATTGTTTGGTGGCTAAAGTAGAAGTATCTTTGGAAGATCCCACTGATTCAGATACACCTCCGGGTGCAGTATCAGAACGTTCTTGTGTCCAAGACTTAGTCCCCAACGTTATAAAATTAGCTAAAGCTATTCTACATTGCACTAGATGGTCGATGTCCCATTTGATTGTGGATCAAAGTGAAAATACTGATAAAGTAAGTGAATTAATTATTGATTTGAGCCTCTTAAAAATTGCTTATTTTTGTAGATTCAATTAAAAGACTTGGAAGCCTTGCACGATGTCCTTGCAATATCATCAAAAGACAATGCTTTACTGAGTACTTTGGAGAGTGAAATTGAAGCACACTTGCCCAATAGCGTCAGCGCAGTGTTGCAAGAATGGAGAGCGTCATTTTTGGAAGACATACTTTTGACAAATCATACCCATGATATTATTCCATCTGAGAGTTACATTTTGAAAATCATAGATGTCCACATTTCTTCGCTATCAAAAGCCTTACCTTTCAGCATGGATTTGTCATTGAAAAGAACTCTGGAGAATTTAGTTAAATTTGTAGTTCAACATGCGCCAAGAATTGAAAACACTGATACTAAAAATAAGGCTATAGAGTTATTGGTTTCAATTACTACTGATGCTAGAACTGAATTTTTGTATAGTGTAGCTATTAAAGCATTGGATAAAATGATTGGGGATGCTGAAACTGATGAGAGACAAAAGAGGGTTTATATAAGGTAAGCAATTATGGTTTGGTATAATGTGAACTAAAAATTGATTTTTAAAGGGTTTTGGATCATACTTATAATTTATTAATGAACTACACAAGTGTGACTGGAGATCAAAAATGCCTGGTAGATGAGCAAATTTTGCACAGTTGCTTGAAATTCTATGAAAAAATCATTGAAAAAAGCTCTGGAAGACAGGCCTTAGAAACTTTCTTTACAGGTAAATTTATTTAGATACAAAACAAAGATCAGTTTTGAAAAATAAAAAATATTCTCAGGTGACAAAGACTTGGTAAAAGTCCTAATGTCAGTATCAAGTCCGCGTATGTCGCAACAATACAGCACCAGAGTATTGCACTTTTTCAATAAACTATTCCAAGCGGCTGAAAAAAGCTCTACAGATCCCAGTCTGAATTATTTATGCTCCAGCATGGGTAAGTTGGCTGATGTGGAAAACGAAAAACTTCAAACCTGGTTGAGGCACATTATTATTGGCCCTAGTGAAGTAGAATACAGGTAATTTCTGCTTGAGACATTATGAACTATTTATGCTTATTAATATTTAATTTAGGGCACAATGCAAACATAAAAAACACCCAATTAAATCTAGTTCAGACAGCAAAGATTTGGCAACTAAGGATGATAAAAAATCTTTGGTACAAGAAAATAGCCAACTACTACAGGCATTAACTAGCTATATTGTGAAACAGGTAAATTACAGCCACATTGTATTTTTTTGGTAACTAATTGTGTTGATTATAGACAAGTAATGTTGCTGAAGATGTGTCAGTTACAATCCTCAAAGCTCTAATACCTCTTGGAGGTCACATTTTAAGCCAAGAGGGCGTAGGCTTTACAGAACTGATGGGCGTTATGACAATGTTGGCAGATGCAGGCACTGGCAAAGGCCACAGTCATTTATTCCCGGCCGCCGCTGAATGGGTGGAAATTTGCGTGATATACGTACAAAGTCCAGAAATAAGCGAAAAAATTGCCAACTTCCCTGAGTTGCTGATCAATAACAGCATGCTCAATGCTGCTTCGTGTATTTTGGATTATTTGAGTGACGTTATTTTATCTATTACTGAACAACCTCCAAGGTAAGTTGATGGTATATTGTGTCCTTATTATAATAATATTGTGATTGTAGATCTGTTTCTCCTCAATGGGAACATGAAAGTCCTTTAGACATTGAACATGATTGGCTGGATGATAACAATGACGATGATGACAGTGGGGAAGATTCTGATGAAGACTCTCTGTGCAACAAATTGTGCACCTTCATAGTCACACAAAAAGAGTTTATGAATCAACACTGGTAAGAATCATATATTGCGGAACATTCAAAATACTATAAATAATTCTAGGTATCATTGTCACACTTGTCGAATGCTGGACGGCGTAGGAGTTTGCACAGTGTGCGCGCGCGTGTGCCACAAAGGGCACGATATCGCGTATGCCAAATATGGTAACTTTTTTTGCGACTGCGGTGCAAAAGAAGACAATTCTTGTCAGGCTTTGGTCAAACGTTCTCCTGCTCCCGATTCAACTGTGCATCAGAGGAAAGACGACGATCATGCTGGAAGTTCTTTGAGGTGAGCCACAACGTTTTTTCAAATGGAATCACTATTTTGATAAATCTGAAGTACCCCAGGGTTCACATTTGATTCCTATTCTGTATAATAAACCCTGGATGGCGAGGACAATTAATTCTGATCCTGATTTTGATCTTAATATTAATTTTTCCCAATCACTTCTTGACTGTGATAAGTTGCAGCTCCGATTTATGGGTATAGGCAGCCAAAATGTCGTTATTGGACCCAACTTTAACCCTTAGCATAGTTTACTTTATTTTATTTTTTTCATTTAGACTTAGTACATAAGTTTTACCATTTGGAGCTTGCTCTGTTGTTTATTTTAGTAAATGAATAAAAAAATAGATTTTTTTTCTTCCAGAAGACGTACAAGTTCCCCAATACCCTCAGACAAAATATTATTTGATGAAAAACGTGCTGACCACGAAAAAAAGAAACTTGACGAATCCAAGGAGTTTTTATTGAATTATTTGAGCTCCAGTGGCGTAGCGTCATCCTTATTAGGTAAACAATTACTATTTCAGTATAAATTATAAACCTTTGGTATTTTGTAGATTTTCTCCAAGGCCTAATCCCAGCAATAGAATCCACTTGCAACCTAAACAGCCCAGTTGGTTGTCATGTGCGCGGAGTAACAGCTTTAATGCAACTCTACAAATCAGGAAAAGCATATCTGCACACTGATTTATTAATGGTGCCCACATTAGGTAACTTTCTGATTGAATCATCCTCACTCAGCTCACTATTGGGATTTTTAGGTTCTCAAGAAGGTGCTTTTGAAAACGTCCGAATGTCGTATGCAGGTGATCAAGGCCAAACAATCAGGCAACTTTTATCTGCTCACATCATAAGGCGTGTGGCTATGTGCTGTATGACAACCACTCAAGGCAAAAGGCAACATTTAGCAGTGTCTCACGAGAAAGGCAAAATTACTGTGCTACAATTATCCGCGTTACTCAAGCAAGCGGATTCGGCTACTAGAAAACTTACATTGACTCGCTTGAGTTCAGCTCCCATACCTTTTACAGTGCTTTCTATGACGTCGAACATTTGCAATGAAGATTTTCTTGCTGTATGTGGCCTAAAAGATTGTCACGTTTTAACATTCAATTCAAATGGCATGGTAACAGATCATTTGGTATTACATCCTCAACTAGAAACTGGAAATTTTATTATAAAAGCTTTATGGTTACCAGGCTCTCAAACCGAACTTGCTTTGGTTACGGCTGATTTTGTTAAAATATTTGATTTGAGTAAGGATGCAGTTAATCCACAATATCACTTTTTGGTAAGGATTTTTCTTTTGTCACTTAGCAAACTGATAGCAACAAACAAAATTTTAGGTCCCCAGTGGTAAAATCAGAGATTGTACTTTTATGTATGATGAAGGCACTTACCATATTCTTCTAATGTCATCTCCAGGACATATTTACACTGAAATCTTGAATGAGGACAGTTCTACCAAATTTGGTAGTTTTTATGTTACAAATACCCTAGAAGTAGGTCATATTTTTTAGAGATTAATTTGATCTACTGCCTATGTTTTTTAGGTCTACCATTTAGACGTTACTGATGTAAATGGGCACGTTGCAGGTGGCGGTGTTTCAATCTACTATTCCCACACTTTAATGTTGCTGTTTTATAGTTATGCCCAAGGCAAAAGCTTTATTTCGCCCATTAAGCCAAAAAGCAGCTGCCTTTCTGTTGGTAAGGTGCAATTCCTTTTATTTGAACCCTTAAACTAAAAACCTTATTTTTACAGTATTTCCTATTACAATTCCTCAGTCATCGGCCACTACAAATGGTTCTAACACGAAAAGCAACAGCACTAGGAGCCCGAATCCTCAACCATTATGCCAGTGGATGGAGATTCCAAACCACCCTGGCTTAATTTGTTGTTCCATGCAATCCAGTAATCAGCCAGTAGTGCTGATGCTCAAACCCGACACTATATTAATTCAAGAGGTGAAAGTGGTCCAAGGAAAATCTAAAATCATGGATATGGTAGCCATTAGGCACAATTCTGGCAGTGAACTGAGAACTACCTTGATTCTACTTTGTGAAGATGGTAGTCTTAAAATGTTTATAGCCAACATGGACCAAACAGGCTTCTGGATGTCCAGTAATATACAAGCTACAGTCCCAATGGGCACGCCTGTGAAACCGAAAAAGAAGAAACCCATAAAATCTGGTAAAACTTCTAGCGCTCCAGTGTTTCCTGGTGACTTTTTTGAACATTGTACACATATGGATGTGGATTTTGCTGGAAACGATATGCTGCAAATTTATAATGCCGCTCAACTGAAACAAAGGTAAATACCTATTTCAAGTTTATTGTAAATGTTTTATATTATTTTTTTCTTAGGCTAACCTCTCCAGGACTGTATGTGGTCTGTAACAAGGCCCAATTTCAAATTGAAATAATCAACAGTGATTCTAATATGGTTATGTGTGGTATAAGAGTACAAGTGGGCTCGCAAGATGTACAAAAAGCTCCCTCTTATGTTGAGGTAAAAAAATAACAGCTCATATAAATCCAAGATTGAAATATAAGTTATTTTTTTCTTTTAGGTTTTTGGAAGGATAATTTCATTTAACGTCACTAGAAGTCGTTGGTATGATGTACCTTTTTCTAGAGAAGAAAGCTTACAAGCTGATAAAAAATTAACGCTAGTGTTTGGTCCTTGTCAGGTAAAGCTTATTTAGTTTGTTTGATTTATTTTAAAATGTTGATTTGTTTAGGATCCCGAACTCATGACTATGGTTGATAATATCAAGGTGTATGGTAAAGCAAAAGATTCTTTTGGTTGGCCTGAAGATAATGAAGAAAGCACTTCTACAGTTCCAGGAAATCCTGGTAGTTCTACTAGTGGTGCTGGAACAGGTACTACTAATGAGGTAAATATTTAGGACTATAAGAACTTTTGCCTTGTACTTAACTATTTTTGGCAATTTTATATAGTCTGATCATCAATCTGGTTCCCCACAACAAATATCCAAACTAGAACGTCTCGCCATGGATGTATTCAAAAGCTTAGATTCTACTTTGTATGTTTACTCATCTGAAGAGAAATTTGCCAAACTCAAGCCTACTGCATTAAACATAGGTAAGATTAATTTTAACTTTTGATGTTTCTTTTTGAACTAATTTTTTTCTAGCAACTCAATTATTGACTCTACCAACTCCGCCATCAATTCAAGTGCACTCAAAAGCCCTAATGTTGACACTACATTCTACTAAGCAACAATATCACAGCTACAAAGATCAAGCTTTACTGGAACACGTTTTAACTGATTTGACTATTATGACCGAGCAAGAAAGTAAATTAATTTCTCTTCATAAATTAAACAACAAATAAATAAAAATATTTTTCTAGATTTCAACTCTGAAGATTTGGACGCTGAAAGCTACTATCGTCTGGTGCTCATTGTAAGAGGCATTGCAATATCTAGGCCCCAAAATTTGGTAAAATTCGCCGACAGCCACGCATCTATTCAGGAAGTTGTCCTAGAAGATCCTTTGGAAGCTAAAAGTAAAGAAAAATCTAGAAAAAATAAACATCTACTTTTGCAACTGATAGAAGTACTTTGGATGCTGCATTCATTGAATCCGGAAATTCCAGCTCTTGCGTCTGTGGTTGTTCCAGGATTAAAGTAAGTACTATTAATTCGAGTTATTTGTTTATTTATAATGTTTTGTCTATTCTAGATACACTGAACAAGTAATTCACGCTCTAATTGAAATAATACATGCGTTCCAAACTTCTGAAGCTTACAGCAACGTAACCATGTCGCTATATCTGCAGCTATTGCTCTGTAATGATCCAGTAATTGCTTTTAGTGCTAAACAAGCCCTTTGCAAGGTATTTCTTTGGTAATAATGTTTTTTTACATTGAAACAATTTATTATTTTGTAGGTTTTGAAGCCTCGTGTCAAACGTCGAAAAGTCTTCATCCCTTCTCCTTCCCGTTGTGATAGTCCTCAACCAAGTAAATCGTCGATAACTGACCATTCTGCGCCCTCTACTTCGGCTGCAGGCAGTCAGAGCGAAGTCGCACCTCAACAGCCTGCAGTAGCCGCGCCTCCAGCCCCTAGGGGCTTTGAAGTCGATATGGTCAACGCCTTTAGATTGTTGGAACAACAAGGCGTAGAAGCTCTAATGGGTAGGTCAAATTGATTTTGTGTGTTTGACTTATATAAATTAATTTGTATTGTAGGTGGAGGAGCTCTGATAGATATCCCACAATTCGCACAAGATGTCGACGATGATGCTATTGTAGAACTTGCCATTGCTCTCAGTCTTCAGGTAAGTTTCTGAAATTAGTCCTGTGACTTTTTTTTTCAATGAAAATGTTTCATAGGATGAAATGGCTGGAGCGAGTGGGGCGGATCAAGCTCAAGCTTTGCAAAATATACAGGCTCAGTTGATGGGTGCCGGTCAAGGTCAAGCGGTAGCGCAGGCACAGCAGGAAGCTGCCAATTTCAGCGATACTACTGCTTCTGCGGCCGGGTCAGATGATGAAGGTAAGATAATTTTACTAAATCAGTTGATTAGCTTATTATAGTACAGGATACAAGGCCTATTTCATCGAATCATTTCATACCGTCTTGCATTAGATAACATGATGCTGAAACGCACTTACGCAGGGAAATAGATGGGAGTGGGGGATTTTTCTGATAAAAATGTTTGTGGAAATGTCGTAATAAACGAGGAAAATATATTATTATACACTGTCTTGCATTGAGCTAATTTGTACAGAAATAAAATTGGATTAACACATGCAAGACGTTTTCAAGGGGGTTTTGGGGTTGTAATATAAGATAGAATTTGTCAATCAACATAAACCACAAATACAGGGCGAATGGGCATATTACTCTGATAAATACAAGGTCCTTAGTGTGGTGCCACAAGAATCGGTGTTGGGACCACTGCTGTTTACTGTCTACATCAACGATCTTCATTCTCTTATGAAGACAAACATCATTTTTTATGCTGATGACATAAAAATACATTGCAATCCTTTTAGACGTCCTGAAAACATCCGAGAAACGAATCAGCGAATGGCAGCTAACACTCAACCCCGACAAGTGCACTGTACTGCACATTGACCCTAACAATCCAAACATATAGTCTGGCTAGCCAAACGGCGAACTCAAAAAGAATTTGCTGCTATGCCAAACTTGACAGAAACAATAATAAACAAGTTGGTGACATATTTTTTTTTGCAATATGGGCCTACCTTACAGCTTAAACGGTACTACGTGAACGCTGTCACTTTGCAGAAAGATCTGGGTGTCATTATCTCAAATCACCTAAAATGGGAAGCCCATATTTCTTTAGTTGTCAAGAGGACAAACTCTTTTGTATACCTCATACAGAAAGCCTTTAGTGACAGATCCATTCCCATGATTAGCCAAATATATAAAACATATATCAGAGCTGAATTGGAGTTCGCATATTCGGTTTGGAGCCCATACTTGGTTGAGTGGAGTCCAGCGTAAAATGACAAAACTCCCCCCTGAAATCAGAAATCTCTCATACGAAGAAAGACTACTGAGATACGACATAACAACACATACAAAATCACCATCATTCTCTAGATTTACAACTGGACAATTTGTGTAAATACTAACCAGCACGAAGCGATAAGGTGAGATGTTCGAAGCGAAAATTTCTGACGAATAGGGTTGTGGAATGCTCTTCAGGAAAGCACATCAGTGCTCCTTCAAAGAACGCATTCAAAAACAGACTTGATCGGGAGACAGCTAGACTGAATTTTGTGCATTACATGTGACTTATAACAGTGGAAACAAGGATATAACAATACAATAGTAGTCTCATTGGCGTTGCCACTTACTGCTGTTCTAACCTATAATAATAATATGTACAATGTAATGAACAAATGTTTAACATAATTGCGATCTTTAATGCTGAAATTTTGCCAAGAGTGATGGACTAATATCATTGTTTGGAGGAAATTCATGCACTTCTCTACTGTAGTGCCTTGACTCTAGCTGAACATTTAGGGTATAATATTACACGTTATGGAAATTCTAAAACAAGCAAACAGGACATGAAAAGACCGTGGCAGATTAGATTAGTAAAAAACATAGAAGCTTTAAGGAGGGATATAGGAAGACTTACCCAATATATCAGATCCCCTGAGCGCACCAATAGCCTCATAAATAAAGTTGATCAGATTTTCCACAATCACCGCGTCCACAGCACGCATGTAAGCCAAAACAAAAAACCACAAGAATTTCTAGATACTCTGAAAGAAAAGCTGATTATTGAAATCACTTCTGGATAAACTTGCATGTAACACTAAAGCACAAGAACGTAAAAACCTAATTATTTTTTTTATGCCAATGAAAAGAAATTCTACCAAAATATCACTGAAATAAAGCAGGCACAACCTGAGATGCAATTAATTGGACCTAGTGGTGAGTCCTTGTATAAGTTTTGGGCAGGTATTTGGGGTCACTCGATTGAACATAATACACAAGCTAGTTGGACAGAGGACATAAAGCGGAAAGTAAAAAGATAATTGAAATGGCACATAGAGCAATGGCTACAAGAAAACTTACAGATATTATCAAATAACAACATAATTGGAAGACCCCAGGTCCAGATCATGTGCATGCCTATTGGTATAAAGCTTTCACGAAAAACTAGCAAAGAATTCTACAAAGATTATAGAAGGAAAGAAAAAGATGCCAAAATTTCTAACGGGATAACTTATTTAATACCTAAAGGCTTGAGAACACAAGATCCAGCACAATATAGACCCATAACTTGTCTGCCCACAATTTATAAGATATTTACTTCGGCAGTTTCGGATCGAATTTTAGAAAACCAAATATCGGAGGAGCAGAAAGGCTGCAGAAGAAAACATATGGGATGTAAAGAACAACTGTTGATAGACGCAACCATACTTGGTCATGCTCTTGAACAAACAGTGGTCTGAGAGATTTCTTCCGAAACAACCCCCATAAAATGCACCAAGCAGTAGTAAAAGCTGACAAAAGATGCACGCCATTAAATCTAGCCGATGAAAACCATACACCACTCCCATTGAGAACAGTAGAAGAAAAAATAGCTGCTTGGAGCGCAAAAGAACTTCATGGAAGATTTAGATACGACCTAAACAAAGAAAATAATAGACTCGGAAGCTTCTTTAAAATGGATTAAAACAGAAAGTCTATTCCCTGAAACAGAAGGATTTATGTTCGCAATCCAAAATCAAACAATCAAGATTAGAAACTACCTTAAGTACATAATCAAGGAGAATATCCCCAATGACCGATGTCAAAGATGCAATGAGAACCAAGAAACTATAGGGCACATAGTATCCGCATGCAAAAAATTCGCCCCAACAAAATATCTAGAGAGACACAACAAAGTTGCTACAATCATATATTTAGAAATTCTCAAAGCACTACAAATCTCTCCTCTAAATGAAGAACCATACTATTCCTATAAACCTTCACGTCGTTAAAAAAGGTCAGATAAAAATATACTGGGATAAAGCTATTATTACAGACAAAACAATACCACATAACAGACCAGATAACAATAATAAACAAAATCAGCAATGCTCATAGACATATCTATACCAAACAACAACAACGTTCAAGCAAAACAAATACAAAAATCGAGAAGTACACTCATCTAAAGAAGATGCGGAACCTCGATGAAGTGAGAATCATACCAGTCATCATGTCATCTTTGGGCTCAGTAGCTAAAAATTTGAAAGAAAGCATCCAACAAATCGGCATTCCATGGAATATCTACCAACTAATGCAAAAGTCCGTCATCCTGGATACCACACACATCGTCAGGTAATTCATGGAGGAATGACAAGCTCTGCAGTCTTGCCTATGGGTCGACTGCCGAGTATACTATGGACAACCTGAAAAAAAAAAATAATAATAATTTTTGAGAGGAGTGAAATATCATTCCACACCACTTTATTGTTGATTCAGATTAAAGCTTGAATGTAGAATAGCCACTGGATACTGATGCAAGACGTCCTGTGAGGGGATAGCGGGCTGCAAGACGGAGTTCAATGCGTTGCCTTTATGACATTTTCTCAAACATTTTTATCAGCGAAATTCCCCACTCTCATCTATTTCCCTGCGCAAGTGCATTTCAACACCATGTTATCTAACTGATGATAACAATAACAATGCAAAACAGTGTAAAATGATTTGATGAAATAGATCCGGACTATTAAGTATTACAATGGATTAATTAATTGGATCCCTCCCCCAACTAATATTTTGTATAAACTTCTATTATTAATTATTTATGATTACTATATGAAGGTTCTACAGCTGCCACTGACGGTTCGACTTTACGTACCTCTCCAGCTGAACACAATGGAAGTGCAGGCTCTGAAAGTGGTGGCAGTGGCGTAGATAGCATCACAGGTGAACACAACGTGTCCGGAAGGTCTTCTGCTTACGGAGACGAAAGTAACCAAATTGCTAGGAATACAGAAAACAGTTCAAATGTGGCGTCTGCACAAGGTATTAAATGTGGTTCAAATCATTTGCCATTAAAAACTTACTATTTTATAGTGTCTGCTGAGCAAAATCAACGTCCGTCGCAAGGTAGCGACACACTGGCTCAGATCCAAGAAGATTTGGAATGCGAGAGCGAAGTTAGCGTCAAACTTCACAATTTGAGGCTGCAGCTGTTGGAAAAACTTGTTGAATACTTTCCAAAGCTTAAAAACGCTGACGGAGTCAGGACTATACCTTTTTTCCAGGTAAATTTAGTTGAGTATATTTTTTTTAAACTCATAATTTGTTTCTTGTTCAGGTTGTTTCTCAACTTACCAGTGATTTGGATGGTTCCTGTGAAAGGGACCGTACATGTCTCAATTCCTTACTGACCGCCTTAACCGAAGACTTACAATTTACAGGCAACAATATACAAGCTATTTGCACAAGATCCAAAACGGGAGAAGTGCATTTACTCTTATTAAAATTGATTTGTACGTTTATAAAAAAAAAATCAATAAGTTTTTTTCATAAATAATTTTCAGCTAACCTATTGCAAAGAAACAAGTCAAATTCCACCACTAAATCTTCTAGTAACTCAAATGACTCTTCCAATTATGTGGCTCGTACTACAGCTACATTTTTACATAAAGCTGGCATTATTAGTTATTGCCTGAAAATCAGTCAAAATTTATTGAATGACTATTGGAAACATCAAACCGAGGAAGAAAGTTCTGTACCTACTACTGGTAACCTACTAAAACCCCATTTAACATATCCTCTGCCCGATATGACGCCATTCTTCCTCAAAACACACTTAAAAGAAAATTCAACTGACATATTTTCCAATTATGCACATTTACTTACTGAAATTATTTTGAGATTGCCTTATCAAGTACAAAGGCTGTCTGATATTAGTGATATAACTGTAGTGTTTGATACACATTGGTTTAGGTAAGTACAAAACTAGTTTAAATAAAGCATTTTTTTCAAATTATTGGAAAATTCTAGATATTTGTGCGAATATATGATGACCTCACTTCCTCCGGCCTCAAGGAGAAACGCCAGGAAATTATTGCTTTATATTTGTGGCAATAAAGAAAAATATAGACAGTTGAGAGATTTACATGCACTCAGCACACATATTAAAGGTTAGACTATATAATTTTTTTTTTCTTTTAAATAATTGCTTTATTTTCATTTAGGTGTAAAGCAATGTTGTACTAAAGGCGGTTATCAAGCAAATTCTGATCTGCAACATGCCCTAAGTTTGCCCTACGATAGTTTAGTTGAACTTGTAGAACATCTAAAAGCTTGCTTAGATATTGCTTTGTTCAGAACTGGAAACTGGCAACGATTTTGTCTGCACAGTGAAGAAATATTACCATTTTTACAAAGGGTCAGCTTTCTTTTAGACGATGGTGTTGCTCCAACTATTTTACAATTACTCACTAGTGCTTTAGTAGTCAATGCAAACCAGCAAATCAAAAAGAGTGAGAGCACTACAAGTAAAGTAAGTGTTTTTATTTTGCCCACTAGCTCAAATCAAACAAAATTATTGTTTTACAGACAAGCAGGAAAGAACGCGAAAAATCTGATGATTCTGCTGTAGAGGCACTTTTTGAAGAATCCAATTGTGTCGCTCTAGTAGAGCAAATCAACAAACAAGTGTCCAAAGAGGTTTTGGCCAGATTTATTAAAACCTTCACCTTAGAAAATAATACAACCGCTGTTAGATGGCAAGCTCACGGACTTATAGTTGCAATATACAAAAATTCAAAACCCAAAGAGCAAGAAGCCCTATTAGAATTACTTTGGCAATTGTGGCCTTTGGTGCCTGCCTATGGAAAGAAAGCTGCACAATTTGTCGATCTTTTAGGTTACTTTTCGGGACAATTTACTGGCAAGAAGGAAGGTGAAAATAAAATCGAAGAGTATGTCCAAAAAGCTGTAGCAGTGCTGCAAACGCAAAATAAAATGTTGGCTCACCATCCGAATGCTAATCTATACGCTCACATGTCTCAGTTTGTGGATTTAGATGGGTTTTATCTTGAATCAGAACCTTGTTTGGTTTGCAATAATCCTGAGGTTAGTTCGTATTTGAAGTATTATCAATAAACCATTAATTATTTTTTTGTATATAGGTTCCTTTCACTACTATTAAACTATCATCTCTAAAAATCGATTCTAAATACACCACTACAACGCAAATAGTGAAACTTTTAAGCAGTCATATAATAAGCAAAATTACTGTACGAATAGGAGATTTGAAGAAAACCAAAATGGTTAGAACTATCAACATTTATTACAATAACAGGACAGTTCAAGCTGTGGTTGAGCTAAAAAATAAGCCGGCCCTTTGGCACAAGGCCAAAAAAGTGACATTGCAATCTGGCCAAACGGAAGTTAAAATCGAATTTCCTTTACCAATTGTTGCTTGTAATTTGATGATTGAATATGCTGATTTTTACGAAAATATTCAGGTAAATTATAATATAATTGTTTGGAGGAGCTACAACATGTTAATTGACTTATTATAGGCTAGCAGTGAAACTCTACAATGTCCTAGATGCAGTGCCTCAGTACCAGCGAATCCTGGAGTGTGCGGTAACTGTGGAGAAAACGTTTTCCAGTGTCATAAATGTCGGGCCATTAATTATGACGAAAAAGATCCATTTTTATGTCACACCTGCGGTTTTTGTAAATATGCCAAGTTTGATTTTACTTTGCAAGCTAAACCGTGCTGTGCTGTTGAACCAATAGAAGTAACTATAATAAAAAATGTACCATATACTTTAAATATATTTTGTCTTTGTTCAACAGAATGATGAGGATCGTAAGAAAACAGTATCGAGCATCAACACGCTTCTGGAAAAGGCTGATAGAATTTACAAGCAATTGATGGCTAATAAACCCACTTTAGAATCGCTAGTTTTACGAATAACCGAGCACCGTTCAGATAAAAAAAGTGACGAACTGACTGTTTCTAATAATAACAATCCACCCAGTAATGCTGTTAATGCGGTTCAAATGGCTCAAGTTAAAGTAAATAAGACCATTCAAATGCTGGCTCAGCAATATTGTAACGAGTGTAAAACGAGCTTTGAAGAGCTTAGCAAGATTATACAGAAGGTAACAATAACAGTTATATAGTTATTCTATATTTTCAATTCTAGAGTATTTTGCCTCATAAAAAAAGATGTTTTTATATTGTAGGTACTGGCTTCTAGAAAAGAGTTGGTTACCTATGAAAGAAAGCATCATGATATGGATTTGCCAGAGAGTGTATCTGTTTTTGATGATATACAGGTAAATATAATATTATTTTTATACTTTCTATTTTCAAAAATAGTCTAATAGGCAAGTACTTTCTGCTGAAAAGTATTCCGAATATTTTGGTATGTCATTTGTGGGTAGTCTGTGGAGTAAAATCCCAGTTTTTGACCTCCAGGACCCTATGCTAGCTCGGGGGAAGTCGAAAAACCACGAAATTTTTGGACCTTTCCAGTAAGCAGAATTATTTTCCGCGTTAACCACAACTAAAACCTCGATATTATAGAACTTTCCCAGTTTTTTGCTTATAACTTTTTCTGAGTTCCTTTTTTCATAGATTTCGGCTTCAAATCTGAGAATAATTTAGTGTATGGAGTTTGGGGAATGTTAAGTAACCATTAGGATACAAAATCTCAACAAAAAAAAATTTGAAATTTTATCATTTTAATTTAGATTTTGGAAAACTTTGGAACTTTTTCTCTATTATAGATAGAAAGCTGAAATTTTCACTGAAATTTATCTCAATAAAGGGACTACAATCCCTGGAAATTTCAGATCATTTGCACTTATAGTTCCTGAGATAAAATCGTGTTAAGCAATTTGAGGTGATTTATCAATTTTTCAATTTTTCTGAGTGCCATCTTGTCACTTTTTCCCCTCTAGAAGATGGTGCTACTAAATTTAAAATTCGACGTTTCGTTTTCAGGCGGCCATTTTTTTAAATACGAACCTGGATTTTTTATTTGTGATTTTGTCATCTTTGGGCATCCTAAAACCGATAATGTTTATAATTTTTCAATAACACAGTGAAAAAAGCAGGTCCGTATTTAAAAAAAAAAATTATTAATTGATGATGATTCCAGAGAAACGAAACGTCCACAGACCATCCACAAACGACATGCCAAAATATCAATAACTCCGGAATACTTTCCAGCTACCCCCTTTATTTATTACTTGCCTGCTGGCCTAAAAAAATTATAACCACCAACGTGTGATTATTCTTTAGGTAACTTCAGCACCTTGTATTGCCAACAAATGCTACGGTTGTGCCACTGCTGCGACAGAATCCTGTCTTACTCTGTTACGGGCTCTAGCTTACAATAAACCTACAAGACAAACCCTATGCACGTACGGTTTAGTTCAGGAATTGGTCTGGAACAATTTGCGTAAAGGAACCGTGCACAATCAAGAAGATGTAAGATTACTACTGTGCACTCTAACCAAAGACAATCCGGAAGCTACTGACAACCTATGCAACATCTTGATGACTAGAATTACAAATAGTCTAAACGGAAATTTGAATAACACCGATTTAGGTGCTAGTATCCGTCATGAAATCTCCCTGCTGGCCGCTATGGTGCAAAAGGACGACGATTGTTGGGAATTAAAAATTAGCTGCATGATGTCCTTGTTCCTGAAAGCTTGCGAGGACGCTAAAAATCCAACGATAATGGAAAGCGTTATTTTGCCTTGCCTGAAAATCTTGCAGGGCTTGATGAAAATTCCTGAGCCTCCTAGTGCTAGTGGAGCTGGTGGCAAAAAATCCAAAGACAAATCAAATACTGGTAAAGCCAGCAATGTTTCAAGAGGTTTGCCACCTTTACAAGCTCCTATGGAAGTGCGTAAATTTTTAAATAGATCACCAGGGCATACATTTTTAGGTAACTTTCATTTATTTACTCGAAATTCTATAGTCCATAATTATTTTTAATTTAGGTTGGAAATCTCGTTTGCTGAAACATTCTGAATCGATTACAGCCACAATCCCTAATGAAGCTACCAAAGAAGAAGTTCGTAATATTTACCTATCGGAAAAATACGCTAGAAAATGGCGTCGTTACGTTAAAAAATTGAGCGAAAAAGACTTGTTGCCTGTAAGCGCCTGGCTGGAAATTGTTATATTTAATCCGAGCTCGCGTCAAGCTAGAACAGTGGCTTGCCGCATTGTAGAATCTTTATGCAACAGCTACGAACGCAAAAAACAGATGATTACCATGTTAACTTGTTGTCTAACCAAATTGTTTAAAGCAGGCGAAGCTTCTGCTGAATTTATGCAGCTCTATCAGAGCATCATACAAGACACTCCTTGGAAACAATACTTGACTATCAAAGGTCTTCCTTTGGTGCTTGCCAACTTGATGACCCAAGAAATTGAACAGCTACATAGACTGGAAGTTACTACACTCACCTCCGATTTGGCTCAGGGCTACGCCTTGAATCAGCTCACTGAACTGTTGGCTGGGTTCTTAGAGGATAGTGCTATTAGACGGCAGTATAAACCTAGGCTTGTTGGTAAGTAGAGGTCGAATAATTTATAGTGATTCATTTATATTATTTTAGGTGCTATTCTTAATGGGTATTTGTCTTTGAGGAGATTGATAGTGCAACGGACCAGGTTAATTGATGATACTCAAGAGAAACTATTAGAGCTACTTGAGGAAATGACAACAGGTTTGTTAAGGATGTACCTATTACAAAAACTTTATTGTTTTGACTTGAATTTTCCTTATTTTCTTATCCCATTTTTAATCTTCATATATCTCAGTTTTGAATTTATTTTTTTAATTCTGAGTAGGTACTGAAGAAGAAACCAAAGCCTTCATGTCTGTTTGCATTAAAACAGTAGAGCATCACAGTTTGCAAGATATTTTAACGCCAGTTTTCATATTTGAAAGGCTCTGTTCCATCATTTATCCAGAAGAAAATGACATTGGTGAATTTTTCCTCACATTAGAAAAAGACCTGCAACAAGAGGACTTTTTACAAGGTAAAAAATTGCTACTAACCATCTACTTCGAATTTTTATTCAATCAATTCTAGGACGCATGTTGGGTAATCCATATTCCTGCACTGAAGCTGGCTTGGGTCCTCTAATGCGTGACGTTAAAAATAAAATTTGTCAAGATTGTGAATTAGTAGCTCTGCTGGAAGATGACAATGGCATGGAGTTGTTAGTCAATAATAAAATCATGAGCCTGGACTTACCTGTGAAGGAGGTTTACAAAAAAGTATGGCTTGCTGAAGGTGGCGACCATGATGCCATGCGAGTGGTCTATAGAATGAGGTAATTTGATTAAATATTGCAGAGGTTGAATTAATTTTTGTTCAATTATAGAGGTCTTTTGGGTGATGCTACTGAAGAGTTTATAGAAACTTTGGATAATAAGGGTCAAAATACAGTGGATAATGAGGAAGTATATAAAATGGCTAATGTTTTAGCAGAATGTGGAGGTCTGAAAGTTATGGTTACCAGATTGGGTGCTATACAAAACGCTTGGAGGGCCAAGCCATTGTTACAGGTAATTTTAAATGATTCAATAAATTATTATATTTAATTTGTTTATATTATTGTAGGTGCTCTTGAAATTATTCAGACTAAGTGTAAAAGTAAATAAATGCCAGGAAGTTTTAATCGAGCCAGAATTAGGAGCTATTGAAGCGTTTTTGAAAGTTTTGCAGCTTTGCTTGGAAGGCGAAGCTGATTCTAGTCAATCTGCAGTCACAGAGCAACTCCTTGACATCATGGAAACTTTAATGTCAAAAGCAACATGTAAATCTTTGGAGGAATTTGGAAAATTGTCTGCTACATTCGGTGGACCCGAATATGTTAAGTCTTTACTGTCATTTTTGGAGCATTCTTCTGTGAAAAACAATGCAGCCGTACTGGCTCATTTAACCAGAGTTTTAGCTGCGTTAGTTTATGACAACAAAGAAAAAATGGAAATTTTATTGGAGCACTTTAAGAAAGTTTTAGAATTTAATAGGTTTGTATTATAATATAGTAGTTTAAGCAAATTAATATTTATAATTCTATTAGATACGATTTTGCCCATACAACAGAAGATCAGCAAAAACTAGAAATGTTTTGTATGCTCACAAATAGCATTGAAAAGAATGCCATAGGCAATACTTTGAAAAATTATATTTTGTCATTGGGTATTGTAAAGGATGCTCTCGAGTATTTCACCATGCACGCTCCATGTGTTAAACCCACTTTGCTCAGAACTGACAGTGACGAATTGAAAGATTTTATTTCAAAGCCTGCATTGAAGTATATTTTGAGGTGAGAATAAACAAAAATGTGCGATAAATAATAAACCATTTTTTTTTTTTTAGATTCCTAACAGGCCTTGCTCATAGTCACGAAAACACCCAACTAGAAATCTCCAAAGCAGACACCATACCGATTATTCATCGTTTAGAACAAGTATCATCCGACGAACATGTAGGCTCTCTGGCTGAGAATCTTTTGGAAGCCTTGTGCACCAATCCCGCTGTAGCCAAACAAATAGAAGAAGTACGAGAATTCACTAGATCTGAGAAAAAACGTTTGGCCATGGCCATGCGAGAAAAACAACTGGGCCAATTGGGCATGAGATCAAACGACAAGGGACAGGTCACTGCAAAATCTGTAATCCTCAATCAAATGGAAGAATTGGGAGAAGAAACTGGCTTGGCTTGCTGTATTTGCTTGGAAGGTTACAAATATCAACCAACCAAAGTTTTGGGTATTTATACTTTCAGTAAGAGGTGTTCCATAGAGGAATTTGAGTGTAAACAACGCAAAACTATTGGTAAGTATTCGTCAGTAGTCAAGTGAGTTTCAACTAAGTTGTTATTTTCAGGCTACTCGACAGTAACTCACTTCAATGTAGTCCACATTGACTGTCACATGTCCGCTGTGCGATTGGCCAGGGCTCGAGACGAATGGGAATCCGCGGCACTGCAAAATGCCAACACAAGGTGTAACGGGTTGTTGCCTTTGTGGGGACCGCAAGTGCCAGAGTCAGCTTTTGCCAGCTGCCTGGCTAGGCATAATACTTACTTGCAAGACGGAACTAGTCATCGGTAAGATTTCATTACTAATGCTATAATAATATAATACACATACATAAGACAGTAATTTCAAAATATTGCATAAAGAACAAACATTGTACAAATTTGCAAAGTGGACATTCAAGTTATGGCTAATTTTTTCATCATTTCTCTCATGTTTCTTTAATTAACTGCCTCTCAAATATATCTTACAAGTGTTACCACCACATAAAAATAATAGTGTTTTCGTTTTATAGGGATATTGGTCATGCTTCCACAATTCACGATCTGAAACTCCTTCTGCTAAGGTTCGCCCAGGAAAAATCTTTCCACGAAGATGCTGGAGGTGGCGGTCCTCAGAGTAACTTGCACATGGTGCCTTATTTAATTCATGTGGGCCTTTACGTCATCAATACGTAAGAATTAATTTTTTTAAAAAATCATTTATGAAAATATGCAATATTTCAGTACAAGGGTGTATACTAGAGAATTAGGTGCACTGACAACGTATGGTGCGATGGAAATATCTGCGGATTTGGCGTATCAATTAGAAGGTCCCCTGTATATGGCTACGATGGCTGTGTTTCTCAAAAGTCCATTTGAATGGGAAAGTGATCGGTTGATACATTTGTCAAGGTATATTTATATTTTATAACAATTCCCTTTACGTTAACTTGAATGTATTGTTTCAGACTCATAGTGATAGCTCAAGCTCGTGCAGTACAGCCTAGCGTTCCCAGTACGAGTCTAAGTGACAAATCAGTCAAAGATTACAGCATCTACAAGCCTTATTTAGTGTACTTTGGTTTAATAGATGCTATTTATAAATATTTCTTCAAGGTACGATTGTTTTAAATTGCATGTAAGCTGATTCATATAATTATTTGTAGGATGTGGAAGGGAGTTTTGACCAATGGCCAACAAATCTGGCCGACTATATTCGGCACAATGATGAAGCTTTAATGAAAAACTCTGAAAGATTGCTTGGGTATTACACCGATGAGTTATTGCCTTGTACTTCCTTTGGAGAATTTTGTGATGTAGTGGGTAAGTGTCTACTAACTGTCCTTATAAGTTAATTTCAATTTGCTTTTATTTTTAGGTCTTTTGGATATCATCCCGGACCCGGATAGTTACATAACTTCAGTCCTAGCAGGTGTGAAATGATAATGCCAAGGACACTAGTTGATCTAATCACAATTAAGGCTGTTTCTAAAAATATATGCTTGCGCTGAACAAATTCTTAGTCACAAAATTTAATGCTGTTGAAAATTTTAAAAATCCACATGATTTTACCCTAACTTATATTGTATTTAACTTATATTGAAAAAATAAACACTTGGATATTTACTAGTGCCTTTCCTTTATTCTTTATTTTCATTCCTCGTTTTTCTTATGTGTTCATTTAAGGAGAAAAACAAAATTCCTAAACCCTGAATTTTGAAAATAAGAACATGAGAAATGTAGAGTGAATGAGAATGAATAATTATAGACCATGTGCGGAGCCGCCTTTCTACAGGTAAAAAAAAAAAGATTCTCCCAATGTTGCCATCTTGTTCAGACAAAGACGAAGTATTAATTCAAGGCAACTGGGAAAAAGAAGGAGATATTTAACAAACTGGCAATGTTTGTTTTGTAATTGTTATGTAAATATACCTGAATGTCCCTGGCTGGTTATTTTAAAGTTGTGGTTATATTTTGATTTTGTGAATGTTGATGAAATGAAATTTTCAGTCTGTCTTTTTAGGTTTTGGGCTTGTCAGCAGAAAATTTGGTACGTGAATGATACATTTATCTATACTTTGTGTAATTTGTTAAGCCGGGCCGGGTCCAGAGTATAGGTATGTAACAAAACATAGTTTTATAATAAGTTAGAGAATCTTAAATAGAAGAGTTTTAAAACACAGTTACTCACAACATTTGGCTGGTTATAGCACTGTTTGTTATAGTAGAGCATGTTTCATGTTATCCATCAGAGGTCGGTGACAAAGTGGTAAAATCTAAAACAATGTTGTACAATTTCGTTATCAACTATTTTGTTACATAGTCTGGACCAGGCTTTACAATTTAGTATCCATAAGAATAGCATGTTCTTTATTCTTTACCCTTCTCTTAGGAAATACAAAATCTGCTAAAGCTAAATTATTTATTAATTTTTATTTGAGTGGATGTTTGTAGCCAAAATTGAATCTTAAAGGAAATTCCTAAATACATATGTAATTACAATTTATGAAACTCCTTGTGTCTAGTGATTGTCTATATCTCAGAGGATATAGACAAAGAGATACCTACCCAATGATCTATTCACCTACCCATCAGAAATATCAAAAGGAAAAGTTGTAGATACGTCACTTTTTATTGGTATTTCATCTGTAACGCTGTCATCCAGCCCGACTCCAGCCTACAGCTGTTTAACTATGATACAGGTTTATCAAAAGGCGCATATCTTAATAGTCTAAGTTATGATCTTAAGACATTGAAAAAGTTTGGTGTGTCTTGAGTCGAGCGAATGCATTTTCGAAGTCAATAAAAGATGTTTTTTTGAAACTCACAGCTCTTCTGCAGTAATGTCTTCATGCAGAAAAGGGCTTCACGCGTTCCCTGCCCGCTGCGGAATCCAAATTGTTCCCTGCCAATATTCTGTTCATATAATCAGTCAATAGATTCTCTGGTGTTTCGTGAGTCTCGTCCTCGAACAGTTGTTGAAGATACTGCTGCCATATTCATTACCCTGATCTTCCTTTGTTAACAGTGCCTTTCCACCATCGTTATACGTACAGCACTGTTGTGGTTTTCTTTTTATTTATGCCAGAAAGTTCTTTTATCTCTTTATGTAAGTTAAAGTCATCGTGTATGGTCTGAAGCTGCCGGATTCCTGGAGCCATACTTCCTTTGCTTCCCTAATATTCTCTTGTACTCACTATGATTATTGTTTTTGTGTTTTCGTCTCTCCTACATAAGATTCAAAATGTCCTGCGTTATCAATTTTTTTTGCCTTTTTCCCTTTGGTTTTACCCCATCAGCTGCTAAACTCTTCCATTTCTCAAAGAAGTTTTGAGATCTCGCCAATTTTCTTCGACACTTTTGTTATCAAGAAGAAGAAGTGATATAGTTGTATGTATATTAGGTACCATTTATTTCCTTGATTAGTTCTCTGATGGTTTCGGGGTTGTTTATTAGTATGTTTTTTGTATTTTTGAGATCTTTGATGGTTATTGTTTTTTTAAATTTTACTCTCTACTGAGCAGAGCAAATTATGATCAGAGTGCATGTCAGCTCCAAGATTGGTTTTTGTTGACTTATTGCAATTCCGGAATCGCCAGTTGATCAAGATAAAGTCGATCTGATTTCTTACAATATTGTTCTGTCTGTGTTGGGGGGATGTCCATGTGTACAATCTCCGGTATGATAGATTGCACCATGTATTTCTAATCATGAATTCTTCTTCTTGGCAAAACTGTACAAGTCGTGTTTCTCGGTTGTTACGTATTCCGTATAATTCCCATAATTATAGTGATTTCGTGTTTTTTTGTCGCCTTCATTATGTCTTTAATTTGTTGGTAGAACTCTCCGACTTCGTCATCATCATGGTCAGTAGAAGGGGCATAGACCTGAATAATGTTCACATTTATAGGTCTGAAGCTGAAGTAGCATTACTCGGTCTGACAAGGGTACAAAGTTTTGTACTGATCTGCTAAAGGATTTATTAAGTACTATAGCCACTCCGTTTCTATGAGATGCACCTCTCGTTCCGGATATGTAAATAATATAATCTCCTGAGTCGAAATTGGTTGCATCCGGCCATCTTGTTTCACACACCCCTAGTATTTTTATGTCCATTCTTTGCATTTCCAATAGTAAGTTGTCCAATCTTCCCGCACCGTAAAGTGTTCGAACATTTCATGTTCCTATATTCTCATATCGGATCTTCTTAGGATTGCGACCTGAAAGGTCTCGTGCTGAGTGTGTTTAGCCTCTCCTGCCGAATCTTGGTTTCCGATTTCCATGATTAATAGTAACATTTTGCAATTGAGGTGTCAATGTCGTGGTGATTGATTGTTGTATAAGCAAAAGACCGTTTGAACAATGTATTTATTTATTCAAAGTATCAACAGCAGAGCCAATTACAGATACTGACCTAATAGTAATAATAAAAGAATACAGATAACATTTAACATACTCTTAAAACCTACTTAAAATCTCAATACAAAGTTGATCAATCACAACATACAGAGAAATACAATTTAGGATTAATGCAGTTTCCTGTCAATTATCATTTTGAATGCCTTAAGACTAATAATGTCTAAATCTACATCTGAGGCATAAAGGTTAAATAGATCACACAAATTATAGATCGGAGAACATTTATAAAGATTGGTTCTAGGTTAGGCCAAGTAAAAGACATTTTTACTCCTTGAATTAATACGATTTACAGCAAAAGGAAGCTGTTCCAAAATACCTGGGCAGTTAATATTATTGGTCAAAACCCCATACATAGTGCATCAGAATATTCTTATCCGCCTTCTCTTCAGTGACAGTCTACTGAACATACCCAACAAATAGTCATTGCTACAGCCACGCTGGGGATAAACTCCAAACTTTCTGAAGTACAGACATTTGAAGAATTTTCGCTGCACACTTTCTATAATTTCACTCCAATTATGGTATTGGGGTGACCATATTACGCTGCCATATTCTAAGATGGGCACAACGAGACTGTCAAAGAAAAAAGCTAATGCCAATACTAAAACATTTTGTGTTTCTTGTAATGAAACCTCTGATACCTTCTGAGCACTTGAAATTTTTGACAAAATATGTCCCGAGAAAGACAAAGCAGGATCAAAAATAACTCCCAGATCTTTTTGCTCAGACACTCTTTTCAGTTTTAAATTACCTACAGAATAATCATAAATGACAGGATTTTTATTGCGTGTGAATAACATGCATACAGATTTATCAAGGTTCAACTTGAAACTATTCTCAGAACACAATGCGACAATATCAGGAGTACTGCACAATCCGTGATTGATGAAACTTCAAAAAACAACTTCAAATCATCAGCAAAACCAAGTGACTCAACATTCCTTACTCCCAACAATACCCTGTTAAATGCGATCAAAAACAGAAGTGGACCCAGGTCTGACCCCTGTGGAATACCTGATGTGCTGATAAAAACTACCGATTTACAGTCCTTAATTTCAACATAGTGACATCGTTTATTTCGGTCAGTACCCAGATATGAATGAATCAAATCGATTATAATTTGAGGTACATCCATATCCCCCAAACTTCTCAAAATTATACCATGCCGGACTTTATCGAAAGCCTTTTCTAAATCAGTGTATACAACATCAACTTGTGATTTTCTATTCAACGCTTCATGAATGAATTTAAGTATCTTCAATAATGGAAGCCGACTTGACAAAATCTGTTAATTATTATGATGATGTCATTGACGAATTTGTCCACCAATATGTGCATTGCAAAAAAATTCTTCTTTCGTACCTATAGGTTTTTTATTTATTTTTTTCGTTAAATCATAGGGCGGCAGACCCTATAAGCCCAGGGCGCCGAATTTCGAAATACGCCACTGCCCCAAATATTATTGACCTATTGGATTAGCCTTTCAAACCTGATATATTCTAGGTTTTTTCCTCATAGTCCAGCCTCTGAATCTCTGAATATCCCATTTTGAAAAAAAATAATATGGATTTATTTTAAGGAGTTTTACTTGAATGATTAGGTACCAGAGCTGGGCAGGGCTTGAGTGCTTTGTGCTTGCGAAAGTGCTTGAAGCACTTTGAGGGCTTGAAAGCCCTGTGCTTCAAGCCCTTTTATAGATTTGTAATGGGGGCTTGCAAAGTCAATTACTTTAGAAAAGTGCTTGGTAATTTGTAATTGAAAAAAGTAATTCAAGCCCTTTCAATGAGCTTCAATTACTTTTAGAGGGCTTGAAGCACTTTTGGGAGCTTGAAGCTCTTCGAAAGGGCTTGAAGCACTTTAAGAGGGCTTGAAGCACTTTTGGGAGCTTGAAGCACTTTAAAAGGGCTTGAAGCACTTTGAAAGGAATTTGAATTGACCATCACTCAACCTATCCCCCACTTGAAAATTTTCGATCGTATTTTGTCCCTTTTTTTTTTCTATTATTTGAACTTGAACCGTCTTATGTCTTTTCTCTTTTAACAATGGAGGTTTTGGGTTTGAGCTTAGAATGGAATTTAAAAAAAAAATAATGAACTTATTATTCAAATAAATAATTAATTTATATTGGTAACCTATTTAACTTTATCACTGGATTTTTTCCACTTTTCCCCATTGAACATTTTCAAAACCTTAAAAT